CTGGCCATGATGGCGGCACCGGCGCCAGCTCCTGGACGGGCATCAAGAATGCCGGACTGCCTTGGGAGCTGGGCATTGCAGAGACGCATCAAGTACTTGTTTTGAATAATCTACGCTCAAGGTAAGTTTCCGACCAGCAGACCCCTGGGCACATCCCCCCAACCCCCTATTGTTACTAATCATGAAAGAAACATATTACTGAAGAGCCTGGTTATCCAGATGACAGCGTTGGAAAACGTATTGAGATTTAACTCGCATGAATTCAGTTTAAAGACAAATGATCGAACGATCGCGCTGCGGATTGATACTGAGATCCGAGTATATATGGCTGACCGGATAAAGGAAAGTGATCTCTATATATATGTAACCACGCACATATGCATGCATATAACTCGATGTGGTCGTTAATGCTGCTGTGTTCCATGCTCAAAATTCAGTCAATGATCGTGAGATCGCTGGATAGATCGAGATATATATTAATACACATAGCCTGATTGCTTACACTTTCGCCCACAAGTCATCAACACACACGTCAAATTTATACCAAATACTGACCAAAATGATATCGATAAAGATCCGCTCCGATCCGATCTGATCCGATCTGAACCAATCCAATTCGAAACGAACCGAACCGATCGGTGCCATCCACTCACTTGCTCGCTCGCACGATCGTCGCGCCGCGCTGTGCTCCATTCGTAATTTCTTCTCATTACATTGAATTCTATTCGGAATATCCAATTAACATTGCATTCCCTTCCATGTCATATCTTCCCACTACCATGGATCGCTTATGGCTGTGCAGGGTGGTCGTTCAGGCGGATGGACAACTGCGCACGGGCTTCGACGTGGTTGTGGCCGCGCTGCTGGGCGCCGATGAGTTTGGCTTCAGCACGGCTCCCTTGATTGTCATGGGTACGTAGAGACACACACCTAGTTAATAATCCACTCTAATCTCTCATCTCCTTGCTCCAGGCTGCACCATGATGCGCAAGTGTCATTTGAACACCTGTCCCGTGGGCATTGCCACACAGGATCCAGTGCTGCGCAAGAAGTTTACCGGCAAGCCGGAGCATGTCATCAACTTCTTCTTCATGCTCGCCGAGGACGTAAGTATTGCAGTTAAAAAACACCGACTTCAGCTCACGTTTTTGCTCTTTCAGATTCGTCAAATCATGGCCAATCTGGGCATACGCAAGTTCCAGGATCTGATTGGACGCACCGATCTGCTGCGCATGGCCAGCCAGCGGGACACCAAGGCCAGCAATTTGGATCTCAAGCTGCTGCTGCAGCCGGCGCTGGAATTGCGTCCGGGCACCAACATTGTGGGCGGCTCCGTCAAGCAGGACTTCCAGCTGGAGAAGCGTGCCGATAACCAATTGATCGAGCAGGCTCAGCAGATCTTCAACGGTGCCAGGGACAATATCACCGTCAAGATGCCCATACACAACGAAGAGCGGGCGTTTGGCTCGACCCTGAGCTATCACATTGCCTGTAAATATGGCGAAGCTGGCCTGCCCGCTGGCAAGAGCATTGACATTTTCTTGGAGGGCTCGGCTGGCCAGAGCTTCTGCGCCTTCCTCGCGCGCGGTGTCAACGTGACCCTCAAGGGTGATGCCAACGATTATGTGGGCAAGGGCCTCTGTGGCGGCAATATAATCATCACACCACCCGACACCGTGCCCTTCGAGTCGCATCTGAATGTGATCGCGGGCAATGTGTGCCTCTATGGCGCCACCGAGGGCACCGCCTATTTCCGGGGTATTGCCGCCGAGCGGTTCTGTGTGCGCAATTCGGGCGTGACCGCCGTGGTGGAGGGTGTCGGCGATCACGGCTGCGAATACATGACTGGCGGATTGGTTGTGATCCTGGGCTTGACTGGACGCAATTTTGCAGCAGGCATGTCCGGTGGCATTGCCTATGTCTATGATATTGATGGTTCGTTCAAGCCCAAGGTCAATCCGGAGTCTGTGGAACTGCTGCCGCTGCAACTGGACGAAGATGTGGCTATCGTGAAGCAGCTGCTGGCTGACTTTATTGAGAAAACCGACTCGAAGGTGGCCAAGGAGCTGCTGGATAACTGGGCGCAAGTGCAGTCCAAATTCGTCAAGGTCTTCCCGTACGAGTACCAGAAGGCACTCAAGGACATGGCCGAGCAGGAGGCGGTGCAACAGCCCGCCAAGGTGGCGGCCATCGAGAATGGCAACGGCAAACACGAGCCGCACATCAAGGACATCGAGGAAGCCATTCAGGATGTGGCCCTGGAGCAGAAGCGTGCCGATCGTGTGCTGGACAAGACGCGTGGCTTTGTCAAATACAAGCGCGAGGCGGCTCCATATCGCGATGCCGGCGAGCGTCAGCAGGACTGGAACGAAGTCTACAATTTCCCGCATGTGCGCAAGAACCTCAAGATGCAGGCCGCCCGCTGCATGGAGTGCGGTGTGCCCTTCTGTCAGTCAAACTCGACGGGCTGTCCGCTGGGCAACATCATACCCAAGTGGAACGATCTGGTCTTCCACGGCGAATGGCAGGAGGCACTGCGTCAGCTGCTGCAGACCAACAATTTCCCCGAATTTACGGGACGCGTTTGCCCTGCGCCCTGCGAGGGCTCCTGTGTGCTGGGCATCTCGGAGCCGGCGGTGACCATCAAGAATATTGAGTGCGCCATCATAGATCATGCCTTCGAGCAGGGCTGGATCAAGGCCGAGATACCAGAGACGCGCACCGGCAAGCGTGTGGCCATTGTAGGCTCAGGTCCCTCCGGCCTGGCCGCTGCCCAGCAGCTCAACCGTGCCGGACACTTTGTTACGGTCTTTGAGCGCAACGATCGCGTCGGCGGTCTGCTGCAATACGGCATTCCAACCATGAAGCTGTCCAAGGAAGTGGTCAAGCGGCGTGTAGACCTCATGGCCGACGAGGGCATTGAGTTCCGCACCAATGTACACATTGGCAAGGACACCAGCGCCGAGAAGTTGGTGCAGAGGTAAGTTAAATAAATGGGACTTAATTGGAACCCTTGCTAATCCTTCTCTCCAACACTTGCAGCTATGATGCCGTGCTGCTGACCACGGGCTCCACCTGGCCTCGTGATTTGCCTTTGGATAATCGCGATTTGCAGGGCATTCACTTTGCCATGGAGTTCCTCGAAGCGCAGCAAAAGAAGCAGCTGGGCGGCAAGAAGGACATCATCTCGGCTGAGGGCAAGGATGTTATCATCATTGGCGGCGGCGACACCGGCTGCGATTGCATTGCGACCTCGCTGCGTCAAGGCGCCAAGAGCATTACCACCTTTGAGATATTGCCGGAGCCGCCATTGAAGCGTGCCGACGACAATCCCTGGCCTCAGTGGCCCAAGGTATTCCGCGTCGACTACGGCCACGAGGAGGTGCGTCTCAAGTGGGGCAAGGACCCACGCCAGTACTGCACCACAACCAAAGAGTTTGTTGGTGAGAATGGCCACATCAAGGGCGTCCACACCGTCGAGGTGGAGTGGACCAAGACGGAGACTGGACAGTGGCGCATGCAGGAGGTGGCCGGCTCGGAGAAATACTTTGCAGCCGATCTAATTTTGCTGGCCATGGGCTTCCTGGGACCCGAGAAGACAGTGCCCAGCGAGCTGGGCCTGGAACTGGATCCGCGCGGCAACATAAAGGCCTGCAATGGACAGTATGGCACCTCGAATCCCAAGGTGTTCGCAGCGGGCGGTAAGTTGACTTGGTCGAGTCACACGGCAACAGAGCACCCCTTCAATATTCTGCTTTACAGATTGCCGGCGCGGTCAGTCATTGGTGGTGTGGGCCATAACGGAGGGTCGTCAGGCGGCGCGTCAAGTGGATTCTTATCTGACCGGTTATCCCAGCGGCTTGCCCGGACCTGGTGGTGTCATTGATCCCACAGGACCCAGGTTCTAAGTACCTGATGATGCTGACGAGGATGTGGATGAGAAAGAGGAAGAGGATGGTGATGCGGGGAGTCTGTTTGTGTGTGCGTGCGTCGTCCTTAGCTTAGAAAAATTCGTGTGTTTTCGCTCGAAAACCGATTTACAATTTGTGATTTTTATTTTCGCGATTTTAGTTTAGTTAACACTAAAAAGACTTGAGTTTTTTTACACTATTAAACACGTATTCCTTTTGGTTTTATTTTATGCGACTCCACGCCACGCCCACATGGCGCTGCTGGCCAGGCTAGCCGTCGCGATGCCCTCCAAGACGATGTTGCAGGTTGAGTCAATTACAAGTGCAAATCGAAATGTTTCGAAAATCCCAAAGTTCTGGGGCTAAAACAAATATCCAAATTCAAGGACAATAACTAGAAATTAACCGTTGCCGCGTTTTGAAAAGCCAAAAAAAAAAAAAAACCAAAAAAAAAAAACTATAATATCATATAATAGATATGCGTTTGTGTTTCATATGGATATCGTACTTATTTGATTTATATTTCGTGAGCTGTTTAGAAAAATTGGTATGCTGATTCTTCCCCAATTAATACAAATACTTATAGCACTGAAAACATATATATGTAATCGTCTCAGCTTATGTCGAATTGCATTTGTAGATGTTGTTCGTTTTTTGAGCTACAACGGATCGTTAATTGCAAAGTACCTACAAACGATTTACAATATGTATTAACAAAATAAAAAGAAAATTTGAATTTTCAAAGCCACATGTTAAGTGTCGCTTTGGCAAGCTACCATTATTAATCTATATATATATATACGAAACAAGTAAATTATCCATTACAATATATACCTTCTGTATACAAACATATATATGAAATAAAATGGTGAAGTATTAAATATATATTAAAGTGTTTCAAGCAAAAATCAAATTATTTGGCATTCAAATGTTGGCGCTCATATGTTAGCTGTTAAAAAGCTCACTGCTACATCACCACCAGTTACATCGATTTCGTTTGAAATATCGCTTACTTGACTATCGGCTTTTTCAAATCGATGTTGCCTGCTGTCAGTGTGTACATATTGAACAAATAAAAAATAACATTTCTTTTCGCCATAGGGCAGCACTGTGCGTCTTTCGCACGCGTATTTTTGTGCAGATTTCGTGTAGAAATTCATAGTAATTTGTTGTGAATATAGTGAAATACAGCTGCAATTATGGCACAATTCGATCTAACACGCATCAATTGTCAGTATCTGGACAGACACTTGACTTTTCCACTGCTGGAGTTTTTGTGCGGCAAGGAGGTTAGAAAAATTCATTGCTTCGTGTCACCGTCATCAGCACGGGCAAAATGCCGAACAAAGCGCCTAATGTTTATATATTGTGTATATTGTGCAGATCTACAATCAGCAAGAGCTGCTAGAGTACATTCTGGAGACGGTGAACAAGACGAACATGATTGATTACACCATGGACACGCGCAAGCGTCTCAATCTCAGCCAGGAGATGCCGGATGAGCTGGTGCAGCGCAAGGCCGAGGTCTTGGCCACACTGAAGCAGCTCCAGAACGAGGTGGCGCCCATCATGAAGGCAACCGATATCCTGAAGAATGGCGAGAGCATGAAGGACTCGAAGACCTTTGTGAATGCGCTGCAAAAGGATTACAACTTCAAAGTGGAGCACCTGGAGAGCGCCTACAAGTTGGCCAAATACTTGTATGAGTGCGGCAACTACCAGGAGTCCACATCATATTTGTATTTCTGCCTTATTGTCATGTCACCCAATGATAAGGTGAGTCACATTCAATTTTTCCCCAGGATTGGTGTTGAATTTATTATCCTTGCAGAACTACCTGAACGTGCTGTGGGGCAAGCTGGCCGCCGAGATTCTGACTCTCAACTGGAACACTGCACTGGAGGATTTGACACGTCTGCGCGACTACATTGACAGCGCCAATTTCTCGACTATCCAGGCGCTGCAGCAGCGCACCTGGCTGATCCACTGGTCGGTGCTGGTGTTCTTCAACCATCCCAAGGGACGCGACCTCATCATCGAGATGTTCCTGTACAAGCCGCTCTATCTGAACGCTATACAGACGATGTGCCCGCACATTATGCGTTATTTGGCCACCGCTGTGGTCATCAATCGCACGCGTCGCAATGCGCTCAAGGATTTGATTAAGGTCATACAGCAGGAGTCGTACACGTATCGTGATCCCATTACCGAGTTCCTCGAGTGTCTCTACGTGAACTTTGACTTTGAGGGCGCCCGCCTGAAGCTGCATGAGTGCCAAACGGTCATTTTGAACGACTTCTTCATTGTCGCCTGCCTCAACGAGTTCGTGGAGGATGCGCGTCTAATGATCTTCGAAACATTCTGCCGCATCCATCAGTGCATCACCATCAGCATGCTGGCCGACAAGCTGAACATGAAGCCCAACGAGGCTGAATGCTGGATAGTCAATTTGATACGCAACGCACGTCTGAATGCCAAGATCGATTCGAAGCTGGGTCATGTGGTGATGGGCACACAGCCTCTCAGTCCCTATCAGCAGCTGGTGGAGAAGATTGACTCGCTGTCCATGCGCTCAGAGCATTTGGCAGGTCTGATTGAGCGCAAGAGCAAACAAAAGAATCAAGAATCGATTGACTCCTGGAAGTACTATTAAGCATAAGATAAACATAATTTTTTTGTATTTGAAACCGTGGCCCATGATGTCTGCGTATGCTTTACAATTTGTCGAAAAACAAACAACACACGGCGCGAATAAAACAACATCCTCTACTCGCAGCCTAAATACCAATGCTGTAGTCCATTCAACATCAAATTTAATTTAATTTCCATATGGAATAAGTTACAAAACAATACGGAGGCTGTTGAGAGCCGCGGCTATTAGAAAAATTTATAATTTGTCTAGCCTATAATGCAATTAGGTCCTAGTCCTAGTCCTAGTTCTAGTTCTCTATTTATAGCTTCTTGTACCAATGACTGTGCGCCTAGCGCAGAACGAAGATCATACGATTAATTGCTACCTCAATTTGTCCTTTGCCGCGGAAGGCTTGACCACCATCCAGGCACGCGTCGGCAGATTCTGCAAATGGATTATCCACTTGCGCACCACCAACAGCCAAATGATGCCATAGACCACGCACACCATGGCCTCCAAATAGTAGCCGTCGAAGATTATTTCGCACTTGCCGTCAGCCGTGGTGCAAGCCTAAAGGAACACGGCAAAATTAATAAGGAAATCTATTCATGATAGTAGTCAATAAGGAAACTTGCCTGCTGTCCTTCTTTGTTCTCGCAAAGATTGTCGGGCTGTGTGGTGCACTGCTTTACGGTTAGCACGTCCACCAGCCAGAGCACCACCGTGTTTGGCCAGTTGCCACCGAGGTTGCATAAAGTATTGAGGAATGTCATGTAGGTGCCACCAACGGCGGGATCGGATATCTTGGCGAAGAATGCCATAGCTGCCACGAACATGGAGTACAGGAATACCTGATAGCAGCCATAGCTAACGATCAGCAGCACATAGTAGTAGACGGGCACCTCGCCGCCAGCGATCAAATATGGCGTGGCATAGGCGATAAGCGTGGCCACAGACGCCAGCAATATGCGGTAGGGTATTGCCTTTAAGTACACATCCATAGGACGCGGTCCGTTGGTGTATTTGCCCACCAGAATGGGAAGTATGAGCTGCAGTGGAATCACGGGAATGGCCAACAGGGCCAGTTTCTCCTTCGGCACGCCGGCATCGATGAGCTTCAGTGAGGTAACCGCATCGGAAGCGGCAAATGTCACTTTCACCGTGAGCAGAATACCAGCCAGGATTTGGACGGGTCGCTTGCGTACCATGTCCCACAGGACTTTATAACTTTCGTGTATGTTTAGTTCGTGCTCCTCCTTGTAGCGCGCTTCAGTGTGAGCATCCTCAATGTCGTTCTCGCGCTTGAACAGGGCGACCAGCGTTGTGGCCACAATGAATGTGACGCCCCAGAACCAGAGGAAACGTGGCAACGTTATCATGCCCTCATCCGCAGGCACAGATCGCAGATACGAGTTACAAAAGTCCTTCGACTCGAGCGCAATGAACACCACATAGCCCAAAAAGTAGCCGGCCGTTTGGCCCACGCTGTTGCAGGTGGATGCGTAGCCCACGTTGCAGCGCTTCAGCATGGTTAGGGCCCAGCCATCGACGGCAATGTCCTGCGTGGCAGCCAAAAAGTTGAGCACAAAAAACAACAGCGTCAGCAGCGGCACATTCGGTTCGATGCCATCGCCGCCCAGCCAGCGATCCACGTGCGCCGACAGCAGCAGCATGAAGCCGCCCAGCAGATACTGCACGGGCACCAGCCACGACTTGCGGCGCCCGAAACGTCGCACATACAGGGAGTCCACAATGGGCGCCCACAGCAGCTTGATGCTGAAGGGCCAATAGGCAAATGAGAACTCCGCCTGCTGTTTGTAGCTGGCGCCGCGATTCTGTAGCAGCATGGGCACTGCAGCAATTAGGCCAATGGGAATGCCCTGCAGCACGTACAGGAACAGGAGTATGGCAATGTTGCGTCTATCGCCTCGCAAATCGGGCTTCTCCTCTTTGTCTTCTGCATCGGCCATGGACTCGACGAGCTCCCGCCCGTCTTTCGTTTGACCCCGTCGACGTGCGGACATGTTGTGGCCTGCAAACACAGTTAATCAATTAAGTGTGTGCTGCACATGTTCAATTTGTTGTTCGATTTGCACTCACACGCAGCGGCTATAATCAGCAGAGAAGTTACAACAACAGCAGCAGGTCCACGTCAGTTAACGGCGGCAAGCGTTAGCAAACGGTTTCGAAAAGTATGCAGGTATGTATTAGTTATTTCGTTCGCTAACCCTAGCTCCAAACTATGTTTAACAAATTAATTTATGCGATTTATTCCATAATGTGAGTATGTGGCGACGGTTTGTTGACGTTTGCGTTTCCCTAAACGCAAGTACTTTTCATATTTAGTGCGACGATTCTCTGCAGCCACATCGAACTTATCGAAAGCTATGATAGCTATCGATGTATCGATACCTCATTCAAAGCACATTTCGCAACGGGTTATTGGATAAATTAACAAATATTTACTCATATGCGAAACAAACAAGCAAATGTGTATGTCTGCGATTCGCTGATAAGCCAATTAACCCAGCATTGTTAAACCGCAAGAAAAGAACGTATATTTTGATTTTAGTTGATTTTTATTGTGACTCGGGCTTTGCTTTTACATATTATTTCATTAGAATCAAAAATTAAGCATATGAATATACTGTTACAGGCTCCAAATCAAAATGACGAAACTTCCGTTCCTAAATAACACATACATATTCCATTTCAAGACAAATTCATAAATTCTTCAAACTGGTTTCGCATCGCTTTTCAAAAAAGTCGAACACAATTGTGACATGGGTTAATATATTTCAGCTTAGCTTAATAATAATAAAGATTTTTAATTGAAACTGGCTGGCTGGCTGTGTGGCATACGATTGATAAAGTCGCTTTGTGTGCTTGCTCTCGTTTACTCTTATTTTATTTTGTTGTGTTTTGTTGTGTTTCTGTCGTCTCACAACTGTTTTTGCTGTTGTTGATCATTTTAATTGTTTTTCATTTGCTTTGTTTGCGCCCGGATATGGCGTGCTCCAGTTAATTAAATTTTGGAAGGCCTTTGCAAATGGTTTCTATTTGGCGGGCGAGCCGCAGAAGACGGACTCCTCCCACTTGTGGTGCACCTCGGGCGTCAAGTTGCTTATCTGCACGTGCACGGCCTGATGTTTCTCGAACTTGGGCGGAATGGCGCACAGCCGATACTTGACCTCGTCGCCGGGCATGGGCACATATTCGCCCTCGATGCTGTTTTGAAGTTAAATAGTGTTTATTTTTGTTGCAAGCGTCAAGGTGAAAGAAAAAACTTACTCGGAAACATGACAAAATACGTCCTCGCCGCCGCCATGGGGCGTAATAAAGCCGTGTCCTTTGGTGCGGCTAAAAGATTTCACAACGCCACTAACAACCGGGTTTTCCATGGCACGCGCCGAACTGTTGAGTGCGCGCGCGTGATTGTGCAAGCAGAAAGGAGAAGGAGGAGCAGACAATTAAATCAATGCCAGATGAGAGAGAGTTGGAATGTGTTAAGGGGGGCGGGTGCGAGGGCGGGGGGTCACTTACGTGGAGGCCGTGCGTGTGCGCCGCGTGATGATGGGGCTCGGCAGCTGCAGCGTGGCGTTTGGACTATGGCTATTTTGATGATAGACCGGCGGCTTGGCAGAGAGCATCTTTTCGGGTGTTTTTGCCTCGGCCATATTAAGATTTCGTTTACTCCCGTTATGTTATGAGGTGTTAGTGGGCGGCAGTGACGCGGGGGCGATTGCGGGGCGTTTGATTTAAGTAGTTGAAGTTGAATTGATTGCAACGGCGGCACTCTGGCAGTGGCTTTTGCTAGCGGCGCGTGTGTTTGGGTTTCTCACTCGAATGGGACAGCAGCCAAGTCTGTCGGGTTCAAGGACAGACCGGTTAGTCAGCAAATTGCGTTGCGCTTAAAAAGTACTCGGAATGTCGCTTACCAAATCGGTTGTGTTGCGTGTTCAAGCAGCGCACTTTCACCTGAGAACTGCTCGCAAATATCTCTCAGTGTGTGTGCCCTGGGAATTTGCAATTTGTATCCAGGCACTAATACTGATGCAATTTTTTTGCCGGAATTCACAATTTAGTTGCCGGCACTGAAGCTATTTTATAGCAGCTCGCAAGTATTTTTCAATTCAATAGTGGCTGGTTGTTCACAATGCGTTCAGTTGTTATTTTTTGCGTGCTTTTTACACAATTTGTGCGCTAATAAACAATTGGAATCGTTCCTTTCTTTACAAAACCTAAAATGAATGGCGTCGGCGGCGTCGAAATTTTCGACTCGAAATGGTTTGCAGAGCATCGATACTTGGGCATATCTACTCGATTATATCGCGACAGTGCTGCCAGATATCGCAACTTTAAGTCAACAAAATCAACGCGCTTTATTAATGTTTTTATTATCGCTGCTAAGGCAAACAAATACAGCAGAATGCTGAGCCCATAAAAGCATTTCAACGCTAATTTTCGGTTCCACGCAATTTTTAAAAACTACTGTTGTTCCATGAACGATCGGGACTCGGATGCGAGATACGCGCTGATGCTGATAGACATGTTGTTTGGGGGGGAACACGAAGAAGAGTATCAGGATTTAATGATTTCCGATGAGGAGACCGATTCTGAGTATGCAGAAGAGCACGGAGATTTCGAAACTGATCCTGAAGAAAGTGATACTGAGCCAGCAGAACTTGAACCAGGAGATCCTGATGAAACTGATGCCGAAGACACCGATGCTGAAGATGCCAATCCTGAGCCAGCAGAGCCTGCGCCAGCAGAACCAGCGCCAGCAGAACCAGCGCAAGTAGAGCCTGAGCCAGCAGAGCCTGCGCCAGCAGAGCCTGCGCCAGCAGAGGCTGCGCCAGCAGAGCCTGCGCAAGCAGAACCCGAGTCGGTAGACGAGCCAGAGCCACTTCCTGGTGAACAAGATGAGGTTGTGCTGCTGGAACCAGCTGCCGAGCGACCCACAACGTCCCGCAGGGCACAGCTGCAACAGAGTAACATAATAAATCTTGACTCGCCATCACCACCAAAGAAACGCAAGCGTCTATCCAACGTGGCCAGCACGGAAATGGGCACGCCGGTAGCCAAGCCATCGTCGAACGACGAAGAGGACGACGGCATGACGTGTCCCATATGCCTGGAGTCGTGGGAGATGAGCGGAGAGCATCGCCTGGTATCACTGCGCTGCGGTCATCTGTTTGGCGAGTCCTGCATTCGACGCTGGCTCATCGAGAGTCAACGGCAGTCGGCGGTTAAGGTGTGCCCGCAGTGCAAGACGAAGGCCACCAATCGAGACATACGCTGCCTTTATGCGAAGCGACTGCGGGCCATAGATCGCACAGAGGAGCACGACATGCGCAGAGAGCTGGATGCAGAGCGTCGCCGCGCCCAGGCGCTGACCACCGAACTGGCAACAGTCAAAATGTCACATTCCCTAACCGTCAGCAAGCTGAACGAACTGCAGCTGGATTACGAGCGGCTGCGCCAGGTGGTGCGCGCGGGCGGCGGCTGTCGCGGCGCCTTTGGCGACGATCTTAGCGGCGGCGGCACCTTAAAGAGTCTCAACCAGTTGACCAGCCATCGACTATACATGGAAAAGAACTTTGAGATAACACGAGATCCCGGCTGCCGCGTGCTGCTCTATTCGGCGCAGCACTCCACGCTGGTTGCCTCCCAGAAGAGCGCACAGCTTCTGTTTCCCGGCTATGGAGTGCGCTTCATCGATTCGCCCAGCTTCAAGCCGCTGCACTTTCTGCACACCTCGTCCTTGCTGGTGCGCGATATTGGTTTCAGCGACAGCCAGCATTTGTTGACCGTGGCCAGTCGGGAGACGCGCATTAAAACGTTCGACATACGCACCCGGGTGTGCAGCAGCGTGTTCACGGCCAATGACAAGCCGCTGTGGTCCTGCGGCGTGGACCGCAACGAGCGTGAGCACTTTCTATATGCGGGCGACCTGCGCGGTGGTGTCTATGTATTCGACATGCGCTTCCCGGAGACGATCCTCAGCGAGTTTCAATCTGAGGGTAAGTGTCAGCACGCTTTTCAAATCGAATCGAATTAAAGCTAAAGCATCTTTGCAGAAAACTTTAGTCCTGTGATAAACATAGCTGCCGTGCCCGCGGGCAAGGTGTTCAGCAATGGCGGATTTCTCGTCTGCCAGCTGACCATAGTGAAATTCTATGAGTATGCCAATGATACGGCCCTGCCTACGCGCCTCAACGTGGATGGTCCCTTCCTGTCCATGCATTATGATGTGGTGCAGGACACGGTGCTCTTCTCGGCACGCTCCAATGCCCAGTGTACGCAGTCGCGCTTTATACTCGCCAAGCTGGACAAAATCGATGGCATTCCAGTGCTCCAGGTTAAGGCCACAATATTTGGCTCAACTGCCACGCCCTATATGACACGACCCACACAGATGGGCGTGGAAGATAATACGCTGGTCATTGGCTACTTGCAGGACAACAAGCAGCTGATGATGTACGATGTACGGCGCGAGGAACGCGTCCAAACGATTCCCGTCAACGAGGTAGTCTACGACATCTGTCCAGTGGGCACGCCGGCTGGCTATTACCTGGCCGCCTTGACGGACAACAAGTGTCGCATCTACAAGGTCAACAGCAGCAGGAACTGAGATTCCAATCTGTTGTTGACTGTGCAAAGACTGTGACAATTCGACTGCGTACTGCGTACCGATAATTATTTAGTAACTAGTTGTTAGTTAAAACATTTAAGAGTTATGTTTCATTGTGGCTTTTTATTTAAACATTCTCATGCTCGCTTCGCACGCACACAGAAAAACTTGAAATATAAATGTATCCTTCTTTATTATTTGATCATCTATACACATATCTTGACCATAATGTTAAATTCTTTATGTTTGAAGATCTCTTTTTTGATTCCAGTGTTTCATCAATTTTGTGTTTTTAAAGTTTCTTTCTTTTATTTAATGTGCGGTCTCTAAACTCCGGCAAATTACATGTACGATTAACTACACATATAAATCATTTTGATATTTGAGTATATTTTGAAAAACAAAATGATTATAATAAAAAACATTTGTCGAAATATTCAGCGTTTTATCAAACACACAATATATAAACATTCTATATGTTTATATATAGACTCTAGTTTTACATAAGTTGTTCAATGTTTGATTAATATACATTTAAAGCTATAGAAAATGTTTTGTTGCATATTTGTATTGGGCTGGCATGGATTCCAAATGAATGTCAAACTAAATCAATTCAACTCTATATAGTACATAATGTGTATGTAAATTGTAGCCCCACGGGACAGTCTCAAATGTTAAACACACGTATATTTACTTCGTTCTTTTTGTTTTTTATTTTTGCTGCTTTCTCCTGTTCTGGCCTCACTAAATCTAAATCTAAATTGTTTGATTCTTTAGTTTTGTAATATCGAGTCTTGTCTATAGCGCCCCGGTTCTATGTAAAATTGTATCAAAAAAGATCGTTGGTCAAAGGTTTTTTGTTTAAACGCTCCAGCTATAAATCGTATATATGTATATAATTAGTATATAGAATTTGTGAAAGTGTGTGTTGGATAGTTGAAAGACGCTAGATTTGGTCTATACTTTTCAAGTATATGTTCAAATATATTTTGTTGTGTTTTATTCGTGTTTGTGTGTTTGTCTGAGTGTGTGTTTTTAAGATTAAAGAATACATTATCATAGATATATGTACGTATGTTTATGTTTATGTTTATGTTTAGTAGAGACATACTTAGATGCATTTGCTGCTGTGGAGTTAGGCGTTATATTAAAAGAACTTACAACTTAAATAATTGTCGAGAACTAAATGTACATTCGTATATAAACACTAGATTCACTTAGGCTAAACTAAACTCATAATGAAATCGGAAATCTCGATGGGTAAGGAGAAGGAGGAGGGTAGATAGCAAGGATAAACGAACTTTTATAGGACAGTTAATAAACCGCCGAACATTGTCATAGTCTGAGCACGAGTAGGAATAGGAGTAGGAGTAGGAGTTGGGGTGGTTGAAGGGGATTCCGGGTTCTTAATCAACGCGCGCATAGCGTGGCACAATATCCTTGCTGATCCAGTAGTTGCAGTGATCGTGATCCTCCTGTGCCTGCGCATCCTGGCCCACAATGATGACGCGGCGACGCGTGTCGAAGGACTGCACCGTGCCATGGGAGACATAGTAGTAGAAGAGCTGCTGCATCGCCGAGACGAAGCGTCGCTGCTCCACGGTGTGCGGCTCGTAGCGGCCCAGTATGGCCTGGACGTCGGCATCCACGGTGGCCAGCTGATCGTCGCCCTCGCCTTGGGTGACCACATAGAAGGGCACGGTCGGCTGGAGGCGGGCATTCGTTAGCAGCGGGCAGACGGTGCGTATGTCCGTGATGATGGCCACAAGGGCGGCATAGCTGGTGGCATTGTAGCGCTGGATAATCTCATCGGTTAGCCCGTGCGCGCCCAGCTGTGAGTTTTGCAGATACGAGCGCACCTCCTCGGCGGTCCAGTTGGCGTGCAGTTCGCGCAGCTTCAGTGTGTGCGCTTCATGGGCAGTGGCGCCCATGACAAGGCGTGGCTGATGCAGCTGGCTGGCCGTGGGCACCTGCTTCCAGGACTCGGACGGATGCTGATACAGTATGTCGCCATCCAGCACCAGCCACTCGTGACGATTGGCATTGCTCAGTTCCTCGGCTTGGGGCACCGTGGCGGGGAATTGGAACCAGGTATCTGGCGTGGCGGCCCACAACTTCTCGCTGGATGCCGCACGCAAGCACTCCGCATCCTGACAGTCCAGCGTTGCCATGAGCTGTTGATTCAAACGCTCCGACTCCTGCAGCGGCTTGCCCGGATAAATGGCCGACGCGGACGAGGCCCAGGCGCGGGTATAGAGGCCCTCCAGCTTGGCGGAGCTGACCAGCACCGAGACAAGCGTAGCGCCAGCACGATGACCCAGCAGTGTAACGGACTTCGGATCGCCGCCAAAGTGCACAATGTTCAGCTGAATCCACTTGAGCACGGCAATGATGTCGGTGAGCGCATAGTTGCCCGAGGTGCGCGGATGCGACTCCTTGGTGAGTGCGTCCAGTGCCAGGAAACCAAAGACGCCCAGCCTGAAGTTGGGACGCACAAATATGACATCATGGGAACGCGAATAACGCGCCGACGGACGCAGAATGCCCGGCGAAGGGCCGGCCAAGGACTCGGCACCAATGAGCACCACCACGGGCAGCGGATTCGTATAGCGCACATGCGGAGTAACCACGTCCAAGTAGAGGCAATCCTCGTCGCCAATTGTGGTGCCATTGCCCAGGCGTTGCATGCACACAGCACTACCATTGTGCGTCTGCAGTGTGCCGTTCCAGCAGTCGTCAATCTTGGAGATCAGCTGCGCCGGACGCCAGCGCAGATTATCCAGCGGCGCCTTGGCATAGGGTATGCCACGGAAGGCGAATGCCCCGTCCTCCTTGACGCCCTCGACCATGCCGCAGCTGGTCACGGCCGAAATGTAGCGGCCCTCGCGCAACGGCGGCGAGGTCAGCGTCTCGTGGGTGAGCACATAGCCAATCACGGCCAGCAGCAGCATGAATAGCAATATGCCGAAGACGATGAGCGCATCGTCCACGCTGCACTTGTAGCCGCGCAGGCGGCACCACACGGAGACCGGACGTTCGCGCTCCTCCTCCTCGGCGGCCAGTTTCTGCTCGGCGGCCAGCTTCTCGGACTTGAGCTCGCTCTTCAGCTCGTCGGCGCCGTTGCTCTTGAGCGGCGCACGATCGACGGTGTCCTGATCCTTGAGCGAATCATCCAGTGTCTCCATCGAGGCCAGACCGGCCTTGCCCAGGCCCATTTCCACATCATCACCGCCCCGCTTCTTGGGCATAATGTTGGCAATGGGCAGCTTGATGGCATTGAGCAGGCCACGTTTTGGCGGCGGATCTGCGTCCTCGCCGGGCGCCGCCTCAGCTGTGGCTTCTTTCGAGGTAAAGATGGATGTTAGCATGGATCTTTGCTGTGCTGTCTCAGCAACTTACCCGACTTGGCATCCGCATCGCCGTTGGTCAGCGGCTTCTTTTGCTGCTCCTTGTCTGCCGCCGGTTTGCGCACGAAAAGGCTGCGCAGACGCTGGCCCAGACCGGTGCGTGGCTTCTGCTCATCCTTGCTGGCATCGCCGTTGGCCTCTTTTTCCTCGGCCAGCTCCTTGTCCTTTTCCAGCAGCTCGCCCTCGGCACCGTCGCCCTCCGCCTTGGGCTTGTTCTTCATAAAGTAGCCGGGCAGCTTCAGTCCGCCGATGGGTATCTTCTTGGGTTTCACCTCGCGCTCCTCCTTGCTGACCTTCTTCTCGTCGGCAGCACCGTTCGGTTTGTTGCCGTTCTCCGTGGGTATATCAATAATCTCCTCGCCATTGCCGCCGGCTGGTTTCTCGGCGGGATCTGCCTGCGGCAACGTCGGCGACTTCTGGCCCGCATTCGGCGAGGCTGGCTTCGAGGTCTGCGGACTGGCTGTTTTCTCTTTCGCGTCGTCCTTCTTGGTGTCCAGCATTTTGTCCGTCTCCTTGGGCTCCTCGAGCGGCTCCTGTACCGTTGTTGCTTCAGTCTGTGGGGTTTCCTTCTCCACGATCTCGCCCATCGTGAAGTCTTTGCTGTCTGTTGAGTTGCTGCGTCTAACTTTAGAGAACTCTGTGTGAATTCTGGAAATAAAAGATCAGCAGAAAACTGGCGTTAGTTCACGTGGCAGTTGATGGCAATCCTCTCCAGCTGCTGACCTGGACTAAGTGGGTTAACTAGGTTAAGCTTTGGCCTCAGTTGTTGCGTGTACTTCTATCTAGTTGCTAGGCAGCTAAGGATCTAGGATCTATCACGATCGCGTGCTGTTTTGCTTCTAGCTGCCGCTGCGTCCGGCGCTTGACTTTTATGCGACATAGGCCAAGGAAAATCCGGACGCAGCTGAGCCCAAGCGAAATGCCGGCTGCCCAAGTCCTTTGTCTTGCGTCGTCTACCTGGGGCCCAAACGGACTACCTGGAAAAGCGTCTCAGGTAAGCGTGGAAATTCGCCTGCGTGTCCTGGCTGCCGCATGGCATTTTCGGGGCGGGAAGACCGCAAATTTATTAAGCAGCCAGCTGCGCACATTACAGCCAGGCAGGCAGCCGGGCAGCTACCTTTCCCCGGGCTCTAAACTACAGTTACGTGCACTTTGACGCATTTCACACATTTCCATAAGAAAAACGCAGTCGCCTTTTAATTGGCGGAAAACTTCGTGAGCAACGTTTGCCCTGCACTGGGCCTCGCATCATTAAGGTTGACGCCGTCGGGTACGAAAATTCCCGCAATTATTGCGACAGTAGCACGTCCCGTTTGCGAGTCGGGCTAATTGACCACAGTCCAGGCGACAGAAGTCATGAGAAAGTCCTTGCAAAAAAACAAACGTGCAGTCAACGAAGCTGCCTTTTTTTTAAGTGAATGTCATTTGGGAAGGTTTTAATGGAGAATTCTTCCAATGAACTGCTCAAAAAGGCATTAGCTAAGGATCAGGCGTCTTTGTGAGAATATAATTACAATATTTTTGACTTCATTTCTATTAATTTCTTTTACTAAGACCTTACTACATAGAACTAGACTGGCTTAAGTTCATCAAACCTTGATCAGAGACTTTTATTAATAGGTAAAATAACAAAAAGGAATTTTATCAGTTCTGCCTCTACTTTTGCTTACAAGTTCTCTAAAATTGTTCGCGCTGATCTTTGCTTTACAGCATTTGCTGCAGCTTTCCCAACTTTCTTGTTAGTCTGTCATTTTTTCTGTACGACTTCATCAGTCTTTTTTTGATGCGTTTCTTTTGATAAGACTTGCCCGAGTCGGCATTGAGTATGTCATTCTCGTTATCTGCTGGAAAGTGCGACCGAGTTGTTAACATACCAAGTCACACTCAGACTCTGAGGAGAAGCCTCAGCAAAGACGAAAAAACAATCCTTAACATATGCACTTTAAGAGTCTACGCCGTAGAAAACGATGCCGGGTCATGACCCGCAACTGTCCGTGCATGTAAATCAAACGAAATTCCATTAAAATGTGAACTTAAAGTTCAAATTGTTGCGTGACATAATCTGTGGACATTATCATTATCATTATCACAGCGACAGCGACTGTTTGGTCAACTGCATGGAAATTGTGCAGCGTGGTGGAAAGCGCGAGGGAAAACTCGACAGCATGGAAAACAACACAAATGAGAATCGAATAGAACGCAGCGAATGTTGCGTATCGAAAGTGAACAAAACAAAAAAAAAAAAGTGTCACAAGAAGCGGACAAATCCAATTGAAGCGGATTTCAGGGCATTAGGCAAGGGGGCAACGGGGTGGGGCAGGGATTGTGGGGGAGGGGGAGGGGGAGAGAGGGTTGGGAGTGTAGGAGGCCGCGCTGTCTGCCAGTCTGCAGACTCGTTAATGGAAACAGGTCAAAGTAATTACGACGCGCTTCAAGCTACGCACAGCAAAAGTATCTGTATCTTGCGCTGCAAAAGTATCTGTATCTTGCGTTGCAACTGTAGCTGCATCTGTATTTGTGCATGCGTCTGTGCAGCATCTTCATTGCAATTGCAAAAAGAAAAAAGTTGATCAATTTCAAACACTCATCATTGTTAATTAGCTGAGAAATGTGTTGAAAGCCTTTGACCAGCCGCAGACAAAGAGGCCAACGTTGACGCGCCCAACACGTCATTCATCTCCCCCGCTTAATATCTGAGCCAGAGATATCCGGCTGTCCACATATGTGTATATAGTATAAGTAGCATGTGGCATATGTATCGGGCGTCTATAATTTGTCTTGCCTCATAAATTAAATCACAATTCGAAACTTGCGTTTGACATGCGATTCCCTTTCCTGTACTACTTCTTTTTTGTATTTTTTCCTTTTTTTAGTGCGCCGAAAATTGCCGTTAAAACATAAATGTTTTCTGCCCGCAAACATGTTTTTTTTTTTTGGCTCAGGCACAGTGGGTCGAGGCTTATGAATCTGCTGAGTGCTGAAAATCTAGCTGCAGAAACTTCAACATTTCATTACAGAAATTCCATAAATTCGCCAGCAAACATTTGAATTATTAAATTTAAATAAATAATATATGGGGGCGAAGACTTTGGGCAAAGGCCAAAAGCCTGCGCCACAAACTCAGCAACAATGCGGTCCTCAAGCCCTTTGTTGAAGACCGACCATACGTGGTGAGAAACCACATCCTGCACGAGGTGCCCCTGCTTTAGACTGAATATGGCGGATCTAGAGAGAACTCGAAAAAACTCGCTATTTACAGGTGCTACGTGAACCGTCTTCCAACACTGGTCTGCAAAAATATGGCTCCATGTGTTGTGGAAGTGCCCGAGCAGGAGCATGATATTGTGCCTCGGGATTGACTACTTTTCTCGTGTGATCGACATGTTAGTCAGCTTTCAGATGGAACCAATGCGACAACATTCAAGCCAGTGTTGATAAATACGGCAAAGCAGGCTTCGCTTATCTGTGCTTACAATCCAGTGTGTAGCTCCTCTTTAGACAATTGCTGCCTGGATGCAGCCCACTGTGCGACACCAAAAAGCATGCATCATAAACACAAACCACACATAAAACAAATCCCACCCCGACAAAAAGAAAACAAAACAATGAAAGAAACCACTAAAAACAAGCAACAACTAACCACGCATTAGCCCAAAGAGCAGTTGAGTAATGCGCGGATTTTAATCAGCAAATAAATTTGGACTATCTTCAACATGTCCGAGAAACACTTTGAAACGCATAAAAATGCAATTGCTGTGCACGCCCAGGAGTGCGGCCGGTACAGTGGGAACTCTTCCAACCGGCGACTGTTGATTTAACTGCCGACAAAGGCGCAACCTGCGAGTGCTCAACCCTGGTGCTGTACCGTTAAAGTCAGCCAGGCATGAAATAAAATTCAAGTAGGAAATGACAGCAAGGGGGGTGACAGAGGCGGTGGCAGGGGCGGGGGCGGTGGCAGTTAGATTGAAAGCAATCCATTTGTTGTTTGTTATTGTTATGATTAGTGTTGACTAACACACGCAGAAGTGAGCCGAAGACGAAGGGCGGCTGCCAACTCCCACCGCCAGATGGCGTGCCATGTGCGTGTTGACACGCCGTACATTTTGGGAGAGGGTTGTCTCGCCGCGGCAGACAGGTAAACAGCAAAAGAGACAAGTCGGGTGGAGTCGACTACGCAATGCTCTGTCAAGAGGAAATTTTAGCCTGATGGCTTCTAAACTGTATGCCCAAAAGCAGTTGCTTTTCAACTGTGAATCTGTTAAATGGCTTCTAAGTTAAAGCGAAATAGAGTTCAAGGGGGTGGGAGGAGATTGCGAGTACTCTACTAAAAACTATATACTCCTTTGTACTTAGAGTACAGGGTAGCGCAATAAAAATTTGAACATGCAGCGGCGAGTCTGTTGTCCTGTTGTGGGCGTCGTCATGAACAATTAAACAGGATATTAGAAAAGAACTGCAGGACACACGCGGACGACTGTGCTATTAAAAAACATGATTGTGATCGAATTTCAAGCGCTGTAAATAAACGCAGCTACCCTCCAGATACTTTTGGTAGACAAGTTTTGATTATATACGAGGAAATGTGTCTAGACAGCGGCGACAACAACTCAAACAACAACAATTATTGTGGCAGGAACTGCAAATGCAATTAACACGCGGCGGCGGGCACAAATTTCCGAGGCGCCGTGGGTGGAAAATTGCAAGGTGGCACATTTAGGCGCCAGTTGGCCAACTCAAAATTGCAGCACCAGTAGCACCAGGGGCACCAGCAGCAGCAGCCGCAACTCTACCATAAAGCAATCAGCGGCACATTCAACAACCTGCGGCAAGGCATTTTTCAATTTGCGACTCATATTTCAAAATCATCGCGGGCGCGCGCCTCTAACGAAGTCAATTTGTCATCCGGACACCGACAAGCGGCTCCAATGAAGGGCCTAACAGCCAGCCAAGATGCTTGCAATGCTTAAAGAGGGTAGATTGGTTGGTGCGTACGTATGTAACAAGCAGAGGAAAGGAAATCTTTGCAGGAGGCACAGGTATGTAATTTCATAATCAGACTATGTTCATCTTGTAACAAGAAATATTTATACCAATTCTATATATATTCTATATACTATATCCTATACCATAATATATCATAATATCGATAAATATAGATTTTAGGATAAGGTTTTTGCGACATATCTCGATAGTTATAAGAGCTAGACACACCAAACTTTTGGTTATCTCCTCTCTATTCCCTAAGTTTTCCCTAATGATTAAGTGTTTAGCCTTGTGCTTTGGTATATGCACACTTCTGTAGACCATATTTAAGCCCTGATAATTTCAAAAAGATCAAAATAGAAGATTCACAGTTAATCAGGAATACATTTCCCCTACAAACTGAGGGTCAACGGGAAAGAACAAGTACAGTCTGAGTTCATAGAGAAGGAGGCACAGGGTATCTCTTAGTCGATCACTCTCGCATAGACTCATCTTACTTGCTTTGGCTAACAAGCGACGGCTACAGCTTCCACGGAGTTCAAGTACAAATGCCCGGGGCGCTTTTGCTGTTTAGCTGTGGTGTATCTGTGAGATACAATTTATTAAACGATCCGCCCGCTCGAAATTAACTTTTAATAGCCCATCAGCGGCTGTTACCTGTTGTTGTTGTTCTTATGCTTCTTCTGGTTAATTTCATGGCGATTAATCAAACATGTAAAGAAGAGGAGGCACATTGGCTGCTAATGAACTTGCGCCATTTGCCAATTGTTCGCATGCAAAGTTCATTTGCCTGCACGTGTCGCAGGACAGGATGTGTCAGGATGTGCCACCCAGCCATGCATGAAATGTGAAACAAATATAACTCAAACTTAAAACCCACAGTCGACGCCGGTAGCCAAGCCTGGGACTCGTTTGATAGATACCAATCTCCTGGGGAAAAGCAGACCCAGAGTTCACGAAGGGCTCAAAGGATACGCAAAAGCAGGGCGACATTTCGCAGGGGAATTCTAAAAACAACTTCCATTTTGATGAATATTTAATCGCGCACACGGGACAATCAAAAAAAAAACGTGTTCCATTGAGTTTAACGCCAGAGAATACCCTGTACGTGCGAGTGTTGAGGGTATCTTGTGTTGGAAAAGATCTTTTTTACAATAGATTATTCGATACTAGCTGAGGCAAAAGATCTTCACGTTTTCATTATTATCATTAAGTATCGCTCGATCTCTATATTTATACGGAATATTCATCATTAGGAAAAGATCTTGAAGTTTTTCTATATAATGTTATATGGCCAGCCACTTTCTATTCCACTTTTTTTCAGTTCTTTTTTCCCTTTTTACATCATTATTAAAAAGTATTAAAATATTCCATTATTGTTTATATTATTATATTAAAATTAAGAAGAAATTACTTTCACAGGGTATCTATTAGTTGCGCTGTCTTTAGTTTCAGAAACTATTGTAATGCTCTGAGCAAATGTTTCGCTGCTTTCTTATCTAAAAAAACGGATCAATGTAAGATTTTATTGCGCACTTCGAACAAACAAGATAACGTTTCAGATTTCCAAGTATCCCGCGTCTCTCTCTCGCCTCTCTCGCTCACTCTCATGCTGTCCCCTCTCTTGCAGCCCGCTCTCTCAAGGATGCGTTAGTTGTGTTTTATGAGCCAGCGATAAGGCTAAGATTGGGCTAGTCAGATAAGAAGCAGAGCTGAAGAGCATTGCAGGATACTCAAAATGGAAGTTTATGAGCGTTGCCTACTTGTGTGTGCGAGTGTGTGTGTGTACGTGTGTGTGTTTGTGTGTGTTGTCTGGTTTTTGAGTTAGGAGCCCTTGGAAGCAACGTGTATTCTTTATTGCCGACTGTTTACTTTGTGTGTCAACAGTTGGACACTGAAATTTATGAGTTGTTCCAATGGCTGCCTCATTAGTCAGTGTCAATAGCCGGAGTCGGAGACGGAGTTGGAGTTGGAGTCGGAATCGGAGCTGGAGTCGAAGTCGTGTGGTGATCTGTGCTGAGAGTCGGGGTATCGTTGAGGGATTTACAGCGCCGGAAAAGTCAATTGAAATGAAACATTTGACCATGAACCCGTGAAAGCCACAGCAAATGCATTTGAGTGTTTGGGCGTAGGGAGTAGGGGGTGCGCTCCACAACTGTTGAGCATATTGTTTATCTAGCATTGGAAAGTGTTGAAAATGTTGTTTAGTTTTCCACACACTCTGCTCCCCCAACCTTTGGCCATTTGGAAAAACTAAAGACTCTAATTGTTGTTTACATTTGAAGTGAAAGCCGTGCCGCCCGAAAAGCACACGCACACACAACATGGGACCCTGCCACGCCCACATGCTGACGCCCATGACATAAGAAAATTTCAATTGAATCTGAAGCAATATATTTCCCTTTTCTGTTTTTTGATTACGCAGTGAAAATGTGAAAACCTGACAAAGTGAGAAAAAAGGAACGAAAAGCGGCTTTTGTCTTTGAAAGCTGGCAAAACAATTGGCGGCTGGGAAAATAGGGCTACCATGGGTAGGAGAGGGGTGGGGGAGGGGGTGGTTAGTGGAGCTCCCCACTGGAACAGTCGCGGCCCAATAAATCTTGAACGCATGCAAATGCAAATGTTGCGTCTTCAGTTTTTTGTTTTCCCCTCGAGCTGTCAGGTTTTTCTCTTTGCTTTGATTTTGTTGGCTTTTTTTTTTTGTTTTCTCAAATGATTCCCGGAAGTCATTTGGGCGCCCTTTTTCATTGTTGTTGTAGCACAGCTGCCCGGAATTCGCCTGCGCCGGAGTTTTTCTTAATTGCCAGCGCCTATTAATTTATTATTGAATTACGATCGAATCGCGGGGCTTTAAGTCCAAGACGTCTCTTCTGGGGATTTATTTTGCTGGCTTGCATATTAATTAGGCCCGGAGCAGCTATTTCTGGCTAGCCTATTTTTATGGAAGCTAGTGTAAATTATACTGGCGGCCCGATGGTTGGACATATTTCAATGACATTTGTGGGCTTAGCGCGTTATGTTTATGAAATTTTCAAAGGATTTTCCAAGCATTTTCACAGCCGTGTGCTGCTAATGGAAATGTCATCGGGCCGAGCCGGAGCAAAGGGGCGAGAAAATTGTTGTGGGGGGAGAGAATAATGACACGAGCTATTAGTTTGAAGGTGCCTACGGATATATGAGGGGGTGCTGGGCATATTTATGGTTTTCCAAATTGGAGTTAAGATAAAAGATTGTCTGCTCTTTGATTGAAAAATAAAGTTGTACAGGGTTTTCTATGGACAAGGAGATTTGGATTTTGATTTACATTAGAGTTTAATTCCATTTTAAAGAATGCGAAAAGTATAACATTTTTTTGGAAAATGTTTCTACAATTATCTTTAGAAACAACAATCTATTTATATTTATATTCACTGGCAAAAAGATAAATTTTAAATGTTGTTTCCATTTAACAATAATATTTGTATTATTTGGCTTATATTTTGATTTCTTACTTGTTCCGCTTTATGCAAATTTGTTGTTATGGCAAAATATGGCAAGTGGAAATAATCCGAGTGTGCAGCATACAGCGAGCATGTATACGAGTCCTGCAGGACACTTAGGTGTGTATGCAACGCGCACAGATTTCTTCTTCTTGTGGTTTGGCAAAACAAAAAATGCAACAAATTTTGTTGTTTTCGTTTATCAACATGCGCACAAAATACTCTAGAAAATTCTCTTTTTTTTGCACTTGGATTTGGCAATAGGATTTTTAAAAGGTATCCTTCACAAAGCCGGTCGTAGTTTTTCTTTGTTTATTTTACTTCTGTTTTTTTTTTGAGTGGGCAAATAGCTGGCAAAGTGCGCGTCGCGTGCGCGTTACTGAAGCAGCGAAACCGAAAGCGTGCGGCGTCTAGCAGAGCGTTGCTCAAACTGGCGGCCAGCGCAAACGGACGCTGCAAATGGCAGCACAAATGAGTACTTCAGTCAAACTGGAAGTAAGCGCTCTCTCGCGCGCCAGCTCTTGCTCTCTGGCGCTGTCGTTGGCGCTCGCTCACTGGAAGGCACGGAGGAACAAAACATAAACTGCCGGCATAGGGGTTGTCCATAGGATGAAAGCAGCGCAGAGCGCTCTGCTCATTGTCTCCTTCCCTCTCTCTCTCTCTATCGGTCGCGCGCTCGCACTCACACTCCTTCTCGCGCTGTGCTGCAGGGATTGTGCATAGCCCGTTGCGAGCAGCGGCGACGACAACAACAACAACAGCAACTGCGGCACATGGCGACGGCTTCGTTGAGGTTTTCTTCTTCATTTCTCTTTTTTGTTTTTTCTTTCTTTCTGTGTGTTGTACAGTAATTGCAAAATACAATGTGTATGTGCGCTCTGCTGTTACTACTGTGAAGTGCGGGACTGAGGGGCAACCGGTTGGCAGTTCATTGGGATTCCGTTTGAGATTCACCTCTAATGGCACAAGTGTTGAGTGTTGCCTACGTCGATGAGGATGGAGAATAGAGGATGAGGCGCAATCTGTGTTCAGGAAAAACATCTGTCGGGCAAAAATCACGCAATTGATGCGTCATAACAACTAACCCCCCACCCTTTCCCTGCTGCTGTTTAACCCCTTTGTTATTTTTTGATCGGAGGCTACCCCTGAGAAAAATAACTTTTATTTGTTATTCCTTTTTGTCCTTGTTGTTGCTGCTGCTGCTTTGCCATTTTTCATGTCAACTTTTCCACACTGAAAATTCTGATGCGTAACGAAAGTGATGCCAAGCAGCAAAACGAGAGAGAGAGAGACGCTTTAACTGTTTGGGAATTTTAGCAATGCAGCTTGCAAGTAAAATTAAATTAAAAAGTGTGAGACTAAAGAGACGAATTCCTGATGCATCCGTCAGCCCACATGTGGACATTTTTCACGCCCAGCTCCTGGCGCACATAGGGGTTTCCCCAAGCTGAATAAAACGTGGACAGCGTGTAGCTACTGAAGCAATTAATTTGAAAATTGTTAGCTGCCAGCTGCAGCGCTATCTGCCACAAATGTTGGGCCCTAAAAAGTGGCAATGAAATGCGTATTGGGTTACCCAAATCGACAGCATGACGTATGCCTGTCACGTTGGCTGGGACAGATCCTCAATGGGATCGAGGAAACCCGCCAAATGACGCGACGGGGGCGTGACCAGCTGCGCCCGCTGAAAGGAAGCGCAATTTGAGGCAACTGTAGGAGCACATGTGGCACGTTGTTGTTGCCGTTCTGCTTGTTGTTGTCATGTGGGTTGTGTGGGTAATTAACAAGTTCATGTTTAATTTAAATGTGGATCAACTCGCGTGGGTAACAGGAAGTGCCATAAGACTCGCCGTTTTATACGTATTCCTATGGATATATTCCCCCCTCCCCCCCTCCCCAACCCCCTCGTAATTTAAGCCACAATTTGTCAGGGGATTGTCTGCCCCTTTTATAGAGAACACTGCCAAAAAAAAATAAAACCCCAAAGCCGCTTTATGTTTAAGCTCAATTATATGGCTTTTTTGTGTGTCTCCGTCTCTGTCTGGGTCTGGGTCTGTGCCTGCGACACCCACACCGTCGTAAGTGATTCCTGGTCTGGGCGCCTTCAAGTAGGCCATAAAAACGGCGCAGCTACAAATGCGTTAAATTCAAAGCATAAAAAACTTTTGGCACAGCATTTTGTGAATTTGCGAAACATCATAAAAAACTTTTCAACAACGTCCTGTGGTTGCGGTAGTTTTATGTGCCCCACCCACCCACAGCCAACCCACTTGACAACCACAATTTACTGTATTATTTAGAAACTTGGATACAGACATGGACAGGACATGGCTGCATGTGGACACGTTGAACCAGGCACAGCAAGTGGTGTCATAGTTCTTGGGTTGAAAGTTTTATGTTTGCCTGCACACCAGATAAAACATGAGACCCATTTGAGGTGTGCCTCAGAGTGGAGGTTAAGCACCTCCAGACATGGCGTGTAGTCCAGTCAAAGGGTGAAAAGGAAAAGGTAAAAGGGTTTCATTAAAAGGCTGCCACTGCGCACCACAATTATCTATTCAATAAGGAGTCATGAGAGGGAAAACAATTGTTAATCAATAATTTAGCCGTTCCTAAGTAGTCCGGACTACCTTACACGAGTCAAGGGTCAATCGGAGCAGGCAGCATTTGTGTTCTTAGGGTTCATTGTCTGGCCAAAGATTGAGTATCTGACAGATACACATGCAAGTACTTGCAACAATATCAAGAGTCACACAAAGGAGATGCATCTGGTCGTAAATGGTTCTCGCTCTCGGATCGGGCAAAGAGACAACAACGGGCGCGACAAAGACCATTAAAAGTTACTTAAAATTGTACAACAATTGATGTTGCACAGTCCACACACACACAGACAAACACTCACACTTGTGTGTGTGTGCTCAAGTGAGTGGAAAGAATCGGAGAAAACAGACAAACAGACAATAGAGCATGCAACAACTGCAAGCGGTTACCTCTAGGACGGAGTCGCCTCCAAAGTGCGAAAGCAACTTGACAACGGTTAATAATTGACAATCCGTTGCAGCTGCAGCTCTGGACATGCTGATGGGGCTTCGGCTGGAGCTGGAGATGGGGCAGCACACTCGAGCAACACCCACTTGGGGCCCTCGAAGGGGAAAGCTGTGCGCAGCGGGGGCAGCTTCAATTGAGGCAGCGCCAGATTAACAGACACACACACACGAAATTGAGGCAAGTTGCAGTTGCAAGTAACTGCGTCAGGGGTTCGGCCTGACATTGACATGCAGCATGCAGCATGCAGGCAACATCTACTCACGACTGAGGATGCAGTTTTTCTGCGTGTGGGCGGCAGATACATTTGCTTCCTCTCTCTCTCTCTCAACCTCTCTACATAATATGGAGCTGGTGAATTGTATCTGAGAGATGCGAGCGCCAAGATGTTGCCTTTAATGCGACATAATTGATGCACAAAGCGCGTCCTATTCAGCATTCATTATGCATGCGCTCGATTCAACACTGATTTGATTAACAAAACTGTGCGTGTGTATCTTTGGGATATATATAGTGCCTGGGAACAATACAGATACACAAGCAGCTACAGTTATAGATACAGATACAATTACTTTCGTTTGCATTACAACAACAGCTGCTGCCCTTTTATCGATTTTTGCTGCTGCAGTTAAACGCCACTCACTGCAGATACTCTTTGTATCTATTTCGGCGTGTGTGTGTGTGTATCTGTGTGTGTGGGCGGCAATTCTGTTTTCAAGGAAGCCCTTCAAAGTTTTGTTTGCTTTATTTTCAACATGACATCGGGCCAACGACAATTATCCGCTTAACGTGTTCGGGCCAGTGCAGCAATGGGCAAAGTATCTTTAAGATACAATTGAGTCACACGTTACTAGCCGAGCGACCGCTTGCCTGACTGACTGACTGCCTGACATAATTAAGCGCTTTCGCCGGCCGCCGCATCAATTCAACCAACTGACATCGCGCGGAAACACACATTTTCCAATTTAATGGACGTCGGCTAGAAACAATTGGTTTTTCATCAAGATACAAAGATACTGTGCTCTAATGAAGTTGCTGCCGCAACGACTGCAGCTGATGATGATGATGATGATGATGCAGCGTAAACCAAATTAAGAGCCACGAGGCAGACAGAAGTATCTGACGGATTGTCGTTGAGCCGACAGCTGAGCAAGAGGGACAGCCATAAAAACGATAAATAATTACGAAAAGGAAAACCCACACAGAGACCCAAGCAGAGACGCGTGCTATTGAACTTTGCCAGCAAAAAAAGAAAAGATACTTTTGTATCTGACAGTTACTTGAGTCGCCTGCAGATACTATTTGTATCTCTTGGACATTTTGCACTTGAAAATGTGCCGGAAATCGATTTCTGATTGAGCCTCTCCACACCAGCCGCCAGCTGCAAAAGACACAAAAGTATCTTTTAGGTTGCCTATGACAACGCTTGTTCCTCATATTACTGCAGCCCCCAAGAGCTGGCGGCGGCTCCTTCGCGGACTTCTGCCCGGGTGGTCGCGTTTAATTAAATTGCCAAATGATCTGCCGTCTTCGTGGGTGGCTCTCAAGCCAGCTCAGCCTGGACTGATATTTAGTTTTCATTATGCTTTTCATTAAAACAAAAAAAGTATCTTCGAGCGGATGTGCAGCATTGACTTATCAGCGTAATGGCCAACAGAACCGTTCCAATAACTGGCCCAATGGCCGCATTCAAATGCTAATTTCGCCAACACACACACGTGCAGCTATATAACCAGCACTCGCATCCCGTTCCCAGCGCCCAGCTCAGGTTGTGAATGTCATTAGCGCGTTGTCGCCTCGGGGTCTGGCTCGAGCTGTAGCTTGAGCTGGGAGTCGTTGCCGCTGAAGCGTGCGAGAAAAACTAACAAAATGCTTGCTGCTTGTTGCCCTGCACTTCGTTAGCACTTTTCGAATTGGGGGAACACATCCGTAAGTGGACGCTTGATGACCGGAAACGACGCCAGCCAAGTTACCTGTGCGGACTGTCAAGCGACAACACCTGAAACAATGCCCAAAGAGCGTGGAGTAGGAGGTTGAGGAGCAGAAGAAGCACATTTACCATATGATGGGCATTGGCCCCGCCGCTTTTGGCCTGTCTTGGCGGAATTGATTGCCCCTTGGCGGCTCTGGGGCCAGCAGCAACTCCCACACAGAGCGGACGCGCACAAATCGAATGTGGATGCAGCTGCATTGAAAATCGTTGCAATTCAAGCGCAAAGCTGTCCAAACTTAACAAGCAAATTGAAGCAGTTGCAACTGGAACAGGGCAACACGGCGGCAACAACAACAACAAATGGGCCAGCAACATGCAATTTCCAAATCGCAGATGCAGCGACAACAACAA